AAATATCACACTGGTATTCCTGTTGGATTTACAGCCCAATCATTCCTGTTTTAACCACAGTATTGCAGTAGCCCAGGGCATTGAGGGGGGGAAACTAGATTTTACATGAATATCACCCCCACCCCCCATGGCAAAAAAAAAAAAACTGTCTGGCTTTCACCTGGTTTTCACTTCTGTTTTCACGGTTGGAGTTCGAAGGTCAAAAGAAAATAAATGCTTTTGCTGACAAAGTTATGTGAGAAAACATCCTACACCTCCCACCAGCATTCACTTAAAACCTCAGAACGACTTGGCCACTTGTTGAATATTCGTTTTGCTTTCAGGAGGATACCTCTGTCCAGCATCACATTTTGCTACTTTAGGACAGGTAAAGACTCGTACTCCCCTCGAAGCTCTGGTTTCTAACACACCACTGAACACAAACATGAAGCAGAAATATGGACCACCAGATAATAAATCTTCTGCTTTACTGTGCAGAATATCTCACTCCAAGTAACCATCTGATTTTATGCTTTTCTTCCTACCCACTAAAGGGCCGTTCATGTTGGGATTTTACTTGCTCAATTTGACTCAAATTGCAAAGCTACAACAAAGCACAGGGTCTGCATGAACAGCTGTGAATATATGTCAATAGATATGAACATGTGGCTTTGTTTGGACTGGAGTTTGGCAATAGGGTGCCCTGTCAGAATTCTTGTGTATGATACAAGTGGATTACAGAGATCAGTTAGTACTAATATAGTCCCTGTAGGCTGCTAGCGAGCACAGTAGATGTGTTCAATGTGTGCCCTTTAATCGTTTTCACTGTGACTTAGATAAAAATGTGTCCATTCTTTACAAAACACCCACCCATTTCTGGCATAATCAGACACCCAAAACAATTAATTATTCACAGAAGATTTGCAGGAAGCTTCAACCAGTCTTTTTCTCCATAGCACCAAACTTCTGTCATCTAACCCTCATCATGTCCACGCATTAAAAAGGAGGTGCAGCAGATCCGCCAAAGACCCCTGTCACTGTCAATTGCCATAGACGGATGTCACCCAGCAGCAGCGGCTTACTTCAAACACCAGCGTCTCATTAGTCGGTCCAGCAGCATACAGGCTCTCCGGCTTGTTGAAAGAGCGCTGGTAGTCGAATACGGTTCCACCAAAGTGGAACTTCCCTGGCCAGTCCACAGTCCACTCCCCAGTCAAGTAGTACTTCTTTTTCAGGGAGCGGACAGCCAGGTAGCTAGTGGAGACTTCCATTTCCTGAATGTGAATACTTCTAGCCCCAGCTGGAACTGTCACCATGGAGTAGTACTCTGGTTTCAAAAAGAGAAGGAACAACAGCCAACACTAAATCATTATTAGCTATTATTGCTGTTCTATAATTCTGTCATGTTTCATCCTGCTAACATCATCCAGATTTTACCGTGGCTTAACCTCTTCTGAGATGAGTCAGTCCATTATCTAGTGGAATTATGTGCATGTGTCTGTCTGTGGATTTAATTTTTATCCTTGTTTCTTTGGTTAAGTCTTCTTTTGTATTGTAAAAATACTCAGTGTGCGCCACCTAACATGTTCAGACACACTATTAACAAGGACAAACACAATCTTACCGTTAGCCCGGTGTTGCAGAGTGTACTGGCCCTTGAAGAACTTGCAAGTGGAGTTGTCTCCCTTACAAACTCCACAGGCATCCAGAGACGCCTTGGAGCTAAGAACTTGGTCACAACCGACAGCCTAAACACACACACAAATGCACGTTTGCCATCAGTGTGAATGGAGCAAAATGAGCATGATAAGCTTGTTTCTTGAAGTGCATGTGTCAATAAAATAAACTCTCCAACTATCAACAAATCTATGCCTCAAAGGGTGATAACTCAAGAAGAAAGACTACAAGATGAATATCACCTTGATTGGAGAAGCAGCGTTACTCTGAGGTGACAACAATTTTAAAACCCTTTCATAAAGAGCTCATAAATAAAGGAAAACAGAGAATAGTGCAAAAAAATAGTGCAAAAGTGTCTTCCCAGTGCTAAGTAAGCCAAAGAAATTACTCCAAAAGATTTTTCTTACCCTTTTTCATTTACTGTTATACTGCATTTGATGCAACTGCACATGCTGATTGTCTACAGACAACTGCACTGTCTTTTGATTCTGACACTAACTGTGCCTGTCATACAACCACTAGACAACAGAAAACAGAGTACAGTGAATCCACAGAGCTGATATACCTCACACACTCCATCAATGCAGACATCTTCTTTGTGGTCAGAGCAGGAAGTGCCATCTTTAACTTTGCTGGACATAGCAAAGAAGAAGTCATAGTCTTCTGCAATGCAGTAGAGCTTGCAGATGTCTTCATCTGCACAGAGAAGAGGAAGCGAGGTATCATTAAGAATGATGGCATCACCTGTAAAATGCACAAACTGTTCTTCAAGTTTTATTGTCTGGTCAGTTTACAGCTGCAGAGGCTACTGACTCTGCAGGTATGCACTAAGACTGAAACGCAAAAGACAGCAACTACGAATGCACCCAGGGGTATTCATATGGGGCTACAGGTTTATTTTGTAGTTCAGATCAGTTATCACAGACAAGTCTCTACAGCCGTCTTTGATTAAAATAAATGACGATGAAGGTGACTTGGCCCAAGGTCCCAGAAGGCAGTTCAGAATCTGTTCCTCTCTAGATCACCCCCCATTCATCTCCAGCTTAAACAGGCCTGGGACGACAGCCAAACACACGGCTCTCCTTCACTGCACTCTCTTTCCCTTGCTCTGTGTAACAAAGCTGGCCCGCAGGCTTCCTTTTTAAATCTATTCTCGGTGTGTCAGAGGGTGCAGGTGGCTACATGTCTTCCATGCACATTACACACAATGATAGTTTCCTTCAGCTTATTGGCCCTAATCATTGCAGCAGTAAATAGAAGTTGGCATTACAGAAACTCTTTTTAAAAGAGTTTTGGGGAAGCAGAGCGGTTGCAGAATATAAAAGATCTGGAGAATTAAGACAAGCAAACCTGCCCTGAACAATCTGCAATTCTCTGTATATTTAAAAGCTCTGTGGCCTTTAGCCAATGAATATAATGTGCCAAGAATACAGTAAATCACTGTATTTACTCATAATCCACAAGATCTACTGTGTATTTTGTATTTTGCGTCATTTACTTGCGGGGATTGTAAGTAACTGACCACCTACCATCCACTTTGGTGTAGGGCTTCCACTTATAATACCAGCCCCTGAAGGGCTTGCTGTTGTACTCAGCGCACTGTTGGGCACGGAAATCCACAGCATTGGGAGGGCATGGACGAATATTACACAGCTGGTTGAGACGGCTGGGGCCTGAGCAAAACTTGCCATTGTTCTGTGGCCTGGGTAGAACAAGATAAGACAGAGAAAAGGGAGAGGAATTACAGGGAAGGTGGATTTGTTTTACTGCTACAGGACCTTTGGCAATATATCAACCGCACTAATGTGCCAGAGCAGTTCACGGGAGAGACAGCTGGTCAGTGGAAAAGATCCACCCAAATTTTTTCTTTTCAACACTTCTAGTTCTCGTTCTATTCGTATAACTTTTTCAATGAAATCCCTGTACACCTGTGAGAAAGCTGTAAAAGCCATCTTGCAGAAGCAATAATGATTAACATGCAAAGAGAGTACATATAAAAGTCTGTACATTTAAAAGTAAAAGACTATACAATAAATGAATGGTCATTTCTTGTAGTCGAGGAGTTGGATGGGAGATAAATGGTCAGGTGTAAAGACCTTAGCTACTTTAACAAAGGCCAAATTCTTATCGTCAGATGACCATCAGAATATTCCTGGAAGTACTTGGCACAAACCATGAACCAGGGAAAGGGTGTTGTCCTGGAACAGGTCTGGTACATTGTGACTTCGACTTGCAACTGATAGTATTTCAAGGATCTCTTATTAATGTCTTATTAGGGTCTAGCTGAATAATTTAGGGTGCCTTACATGGTATACTGGTGTAATAGATATGTTGTCAGCCCTGTGTGGTTTTAAATTGGCCGTAGGTGTGAATAGTTGCCTGTCTCTCTGCTGCTCCCTGGAATAGACCAGTGGGTTTCTCACAGTGAAACCTGCCTCTCATCCACTGTCAGCTGCAATAAGCTCAAGTCCCCGTGACCATGGGTGGGAAAGTAGTTAATAAAATAGTTGGCTGGATGGGCCTTCGGAAATCCTGCAGAGTCCTCGACTCAAATGTATCCAAGCTGTTTGGCAGGACGTGAAGGACCAGCAGCACATTAGGCAAATGTCACGTTTTTGTTGCTCAGCATATACCTCAACATATATCACACAATACACATATGTGTCTATTTTAATGTGTGTATTTAAAATATTTAAAAAAGTGTAACATTTATTTATTTATCTTTGAAAAACATCAAGCTAGATATTTACCCATTCTAAATGGTAAATATCACCAACTGGCTGCTGCCTGCAGCTTCACGTTTATATCATCAAAAACATGCAGATTTTGTCAGTGATCTCTCTCAGCAAAAATTCATACTAGCCCATAAAACTCCTCCTTTAAGCTTTGGAAGTTATTTATCCAAGTACTGAATCATTTAACTGAATAAAGTGGGATTTTTAACACTACTTCATCACATCATAAGTCACATGCTTACAAGCTATGCTGAATCAACAATTTATATGAATAAAATGAACAGCTGATAAAAAGGAAGTGGCGCTTTAATGTGTCACCAAAATGACAAAACCAGTCACCACTTATTAGAAAACACAACCAGAGTCTTGACATTAAGTGAACATCAAGATGCCATGTCAGACTTCCCAGGCTCTCTAAACCCACGCCAGGCATTCCAACACAACCACCAACAGAGAAAATTGAGTTTAGCTGTTTACAGAAGTGCACACGCAGACGCACACATACACACAGAGACTGGAGAACCATGCTGATCAAACACGTCTAATAAAAACAGTTCACTAAGTGTGACAATATAATGAAACGCTTTGGCGATGGAAGGCAAACAGTGCCTAATAGAAACAGTAAACACCACAAGAAAAACTAGATGTATGTTTCTTTCGCGTTTTCTGC